GTAATGTTAATTCTTGCCTGTGACTCTTTGAATAAACCAGCACGGTTATATTTTTTATATACTCAAGTGGTCTGAGTCGTCCCTCTGAGTTCCTGGTTTGAAAGAACCGGACGAGACTTTATAATAGAATGAAGCCTTTAGCTCGTTGTGGTGTTGGAATGCTAGCTAGTGGGTTAGCATGTTAGCTCACCTGGATGAGGTTATCATCGAAGCTTCCCCACGGTTCCGTGTTCGTGTTCGTGTTTGTGTTTCTGCTCCCGGAGCCCGCAGACATTTTCACCTCAGCAGCAGCAGTTTCCCTGTACTTTACCCTACTTATCTCGGGTCTGTGGCGGTGTGAATGTTCTCACGACCAAGTGTAGACTTTAATTTCAACTGAGACAATAAAAATCCGATGTTTCACTGCCTAAAAGCTACATATCAACAGAGAGGAGCCTGCTAATCTCCGCCTCCACGGGATGTATGTCTGACTGAAGTGACGTGAGTCGAAAATATCGCGAGATTCCCGTGTTAGTCTTCTTCTTCTTCTTCTTCTTCTTCTTCTTCTTCTTCTTCAGCTGTAGATTCCCGTGTTTTTGGCGACCCTTCGTCATATATGCTATAGACACAACGCTGGCTCGGGATGAGCTGCCCCTCGCCTGGTCAGCGCAGTCAAGACGGACAGTTTGAGCTTTTCAACAGCCTTCAGTCTGTACAGGAAGTCTGCACCACTCACATCCCGTTAGATCTGATCCAGATTTAATGAAATCGGGATCGGCTTCTACTCAGGGTCCAAACAGCTGTTGTTTTAATGACGTCCTTCTATATGATAAGGAGATTCCTGACCCGTGTCGGTCTCCATACTGTTACTCACATATTGTGTCTGAACGTGTGTCTGGGCTGCATTTCTCATACAAGGCATAATCAGATCAGTTTGTTGCTGTATCTGAGCTGGCCAGACTCGATTTGATATGAAACTGCATCAATACATTCACAGCCATTGTTGATCTGTCAGATATTTAGTCTGTGTCACCTCTGGACAGATGTCACTGAAAGAATCCTCACATCCCGCTCACCAACGGCTTTTGTGTCTCTTAATTGATACTTCACGAATTAAATCAGTTCCTGTTGCAGAGCAGGACTGTCACAGACTGTCTGCACACAGAATTGTGTAATGCATGTATAGGTTCCAGAAGTGTATGTTAAAAAGACACGGACAGTAGCAGTGAGGACAGGTAATTTAACAGAGGCGTACAATATTCCTATCAGACAGACAGTAAATACTTGGGTATACACATCTCTAGAGACTTCAACTGAAAATTGGGGGAGCTAATATAGAACGAGTACATGAAATTAAATTTCTAGGTGTCATAGTTGATGACAAATTCTCCTGGAAATCTCATATCGGATATGTTCCGGACAAAATAGCAAAAAATATATCGATATATGCAAGGGTTAGATGTATTTTGGACAGGAAAGCTCTACGCATTTTGTATTCTTCATTGATTCTACCATACTTAGAGTATGGCGTTGAAAACTGGGGAAATACATACAAAAGCTCACTTCAACCATTGTATATATTACAAAAAAGAGCGATAAGAAGTGTGCATAAGATGGGATATAGGGATCACACCAATGGAGCTTTCATACAGTCTAAATTGTTAAAATTTTTTCGTTTTAGTGGGATATAAGACTACAGTGTTTATGTATAAAGCCAGGAACAATTTATTACCTGGTGGAATTCAAAAACTATTTAATGAAAGGGAAGGGGGATACAATTTAAGGGGTCAGTTAAATTAAAAAATTAATGCTATACGTACAACCAAAAAAAGATTTTGTATTTCCATAAGTGGGGTAAAACTATGGAATAATCTAAGTGTGGACATAAAAAATAGTAATAGAATTGACGAGTTTAAACATAAATATAAAGGTATGTGTCAATCAAGATATATGCAAGAACAGGCTCAATGATAACACTTTTTTTTTAGTATAATACTTGTGTGGTGTAGAAGTGAATCATTTACTGCTTGTAAACCAATGATGGTAAGATGATGTCATGGGGTAGGACTGGATAAGTCTGACTTCTTCCTACTCCATTCAAGCATGTACTAGGTATAAGCACATTGATATTGGATTAGCATTTGTTGGATATGTGTAAAATTATGTGTGTTGACATATCAACTGTCTTTACATGCTTGAAAGAATAAAATCAAATCAAATCAAAATTCAAAACCTTGACTATATATGGAAAAATAAGGTCCACTACATTAAAAGCAGAGTTGACTAAAGAATTTAAAGATGAAGGTTTACAAGCCATTGATTTTGACTTTATTAATGGAACTTCAGGAGCAGATCGTTGTTCAATAGAGACTGGATAGAGAAAGGTATTGGTCAGTAACTCATCTTACTGACACAAATGGCTCCTTCTTATCTTATGAAAGCTTTTGTGTCAAATATGGGAGAATTGAGGATCCTAACACATTCAGTGCTATAATCAAAGCAATTCCCACTTCCATCATGTGCTTGATTAAAGGATATTAGTAACCCTACTCCAATCAGCCCATCTCTCCCACAGTTTTTAATTGGAGGCTGTGTTTTTAAACCAGCTCAAATACCTAAACAAAAAGATAAGAAATATGCTAAACAGCATCTCGTACCCTTCTTCTCAGGACAGAAATCTATATTACAGCTCTTTTCAAAGGAAACAGCTTGCTTGTTACAACCAAAGTATTTAAAACCAAAGAACTTCATTTTAAAACCTTAAATGGAATATATCCATCCAGTGCTTTGTTGAGACACTGATTTGAAATTGACTCTAATAACTGTGCATTTCATTTTTGTTTCACTGTATGTATGTGAAGAGCTCTTGGCATGAGGGTTTTGTATGGCTCCAATCAAAGATTCATCTCCTAAATGACTTCACCCAGAAAGACATTACATTTGGTCTCCTGGTGGACACTGCCAGCGCTGACTTTCTGATCAACGATGTCATCATTATTGGGACATTCTACATACATAAATCAAAGTGAGACGCACTTCAGAAGCCCCGGTGGGCCATTTAGGGTGTGTGTGTGTGTGTGTGTGTGTATGTATGTATGTATGTATGTGTATGTGTGTGTGTGTGTATGTGTGTGTATGTGTGTGTGTGCATGGTCTGACTCTACTCGAGAAGTTAAGTTCTCGCGATAGCACCCCGCTGTCAGTAAAAATCCCCCCCCCCATGTGATCTTCAATTGGGTTCCAGCGGTTGAAACATACCGGTATTTAACGTAAATCTTTCTCGGTTTAAGGTATCACCGAACTAGCGCGGATTATTTATGGCATCAAAGTCAAGAGTCCACTGCGAAGGTCCACGGTGAGTTAAACCGACTATAGCTCAGAAAAGGGCCGCTTTGACATCGTTAAGTTCTCAGAGAGTTTAGTTAGTCTGCTAGCTTAGCTGACTTGAGTTGTGACCATAAACTCTAATCTAACCGTTAGTAACAGATAAAAACCCACCCTAGTTATCTTCTCAGCTTCAGGGAAACCTGCTGTTGACATGAGTTAAAAGAGATTTCAGTTATGTTCCTGTCGATAGCTGATATCGATTGTGTGATCTGCTGATCTAGCTACAAACGACATGACCTCCAATTGTTAAGAAACATAACGCTAAACCAGTACAAGTCCAAAGTAAGATGATGAGTGTTTGTTTTGTATCTGTATCTGTGATGGTATTGATTCGTTCCGTCTCCTTCACTAAGGAGGGTAGCCTCTGTGCTTTGTACCTAGTGAACATGACAGGTTCAGCTGGGGCGTCGGGCTCGGTCTACAAACGCTGATATTTTATTTAAGTGCTGCTGTGTTTTATTCTGCCAGCTGTGCACTCTGTCAGACAAATAGACAGTGGAGTTTGGCACAGCTGCATGTCACGTTCTCTAGTTAAATATAAAACAGTTATCAGTTGTATTGATTGGCCTCGGTCATAACAATCACTGATCGATACAATATGGGTGGGCTGTGGGTGAAAGGAGGACTCCGCGGCGCCCCGCCCCTTCGTGGGCTGAGCGAGTACGTGGTGCGTGGTCACATGGTGATGGCGGACGGGCGCAGCAGTCTGACCTCGGAACTCTGAGCAAAAACCAACTATTTCGCTATTAGCGGCGGAACCAGGAGCTGTTCTCTCATCACTGTGGGCCGATTTGCCGTTTGAGCCAACAACATGAGGTAACGGAGGATTTTCCGACTTTATTCGCCATTTTACCAACCGGCAGCTGCCACATGGCCCAATTTAAGAGTTATTTATATGCTAATACCGGTACGTTAAACCAACAGCACCCCTATTATTACAAAATTTCCTCGAACGTTACAAAAAATGCTATTATAATAGTAACGTTACATAGTCTGAGTTGTAGTACTGCTGTATGACTGTATCAGTAGTATTTTTTACTGCGGCAGAAGGTCGCGCTAGTTTTCAGTACTGGAACTTTACACTACGGGTCCAGAGTTTTAGGTCGCCTCCATGTTTCCAGTTATCACTGTAGTCCAACTGAAATCAAACACAGCTGGGACAGACGGCACTGAAGGTGAAGAAGGTCCCACAGATGTGTTGCACCTGTAGGTTGCTTTGCTTTCACTGTTGATCTGGAAAGCTTGGACACTGTGCTGTTGTTCCACCGTTTGTCCTGCCCTCCTCCACACTCTGGAGGTGCTTGTGGCTCCTTCCCCTGCTACAGGGTGAAAACCTGAGAAGCTCTGACTTCCTGTGTTCATGGCCTTTTTCCAAGTGATGTTTCAGAGGGTGCAGTGACACAGTATTGTCCAACACTGCCTCTGTACAGTCAGAATCTGTTGTTGTGGGTCACCAGCCACAGTTGGGACAGTGTAGAAATAGTTTGCATCAGTTGTCAAGGCTTCATTTGCTTCCACTGCTGCAGAAAAAATGGAAGCTAAGCAGCCACTGGATCCTGAAAATGGCCCGTTTACACACAGGTTTAGTTTTTGGTGACTTTGTTTTTACCTCTGGCAGTTTACTTCTTAGTTTTGTACTATTTAAGGTTACGAACTGGACTTGAAACGCTCACGTCACAATAAAAAGTGGAAAAATGGAGGTGACCTACCACTTTTGATTGGTAGTGGATATTTATTGCTCTAAGCTAGCTAGTATACTTCAAAACATTGCTTTATATTTACAAAATGATGATAGATTTGGGTGTAAAATAAGAACCTGCAGCTGTCAGCTGAATGTAGTGAAGTATAGAGTAGTATTTCAAATGTTAAGTAAAAAAAAAAAAAACTATTCAAAACCTTTAAGTACAGTACATGAGTAAATGTAGTTTGCTAGTAATGAGATTAAAGTCAGATTTGCTCACATGGAAAATAGCCAGGCAGCTCATTGTTAATATTGACGTGATGATGGGCTGTTGATGCTTTTGTTCTGATCACTTTCTAAAATTTATTTAGTCACATTTCAGTCCCAAAACACATTTTGTGCTGTAGATGTTCTGTTTTATTTGATTAACCTGCAGGTTTTTTTTCTTTATTCGCTTGGTCTATCTGACATGAGAACAAATAAAAAAT